CTGAATATTTTGCTTTACTTCATTTTGGGTATCTTTTATTTGTTTTTCCATTTTTCAACCAAGCTCAATCAGTTCTGTGAGCATTTTGATTACCAGGACTTTAAATTCTCCATCAGGTAGGTTGGCCCTCTCCTCATCACTTAGCTCTCTTTCTGAAGTTTTGCTCCGTTCTTTTATTTGGGCCACATTTCTTTGTTTTGGTGTACCTGTTAAATTACCCAGGGCCTTAGGTATTCACCTGGGCAGGGCAGCCCCCCCCCCTTGCTGTGTTGCAGTGCTGCCTGTGGGGAAGGGGCCAGAGAGGGAACAATGCAGCTCGCCTGCTTGGCCCCAGCCCACTTTCCAACAGAATCTCGTGTGAGACTGGGAGTTTCTCCCACAACAACCACCGTAGTTCACAGTAAACTCTGTCTCAGTTCCACCTTCACCCAGCATGGCCCACATGGTCCGCCTCCTCCCTATGGTTTTCCTCAGCCAGCCCCACCTGTGCAATCCATGGACTTGCAGGGTTCTTACAGGTCTAGTTGTTCTGTTTGACTTTGTCTTTAATTCCTTAGTTTTTGGAGTTTGATTTTCTGGCATTTCTCATTGTTTATTGATTTTAGATTGGTTGTTATCTTCCTTTCAGTTATTCGAGGAAGTGAAGGGTATTTACCTACACCTCCATCTTGGCTGGGACTCCTTTTAGTGGATTATCTTTAAGTGTCAGTTACATTCTGAGTTACACATCCAAGACTACTGTATAATCTAAGCAAGGTATGACTGCAAGTAAAATTTTGTGATCCCTTTCATAAGATGTACTGTGAAAAAAAATCTTAGGATTTGTAAAAGATAAAAGAGTCATTTCTATTGTCCTTCAAGAACCTCAATTATTGCTTCTTTTAAAGGATACTGAAATTCCTCAGACCTGTGGCCATCTCTATAGAATGGATAACATCCATCTGATTGCAATCTCAATCTATTTATGTTTCTATTGGGTAGCTGAATATGCATGACAATAATTACTAATTTACTTATTTTCCATCCCCACTGGGCCAGGTTATTCCCCAGGTACAGTGAAAAATACCTCATAAATCAACAAATGAGATAACAACAGTAAATTTGGTCAATAGAGATTTCACGTGCTAAAAAAACAGAAAAAATAGCTATTTCTCTATAGTCATTAGATAAGAATTTTAATAAACAAATCAGTTACTTTAATTTTCCAATCTTCTCTACTGATTCTATGTATTATCTATTATACAATTGGCTATACTGACTTGTTTTTAATCAACCAAGGATAGAAAATCTAGAAAAGTCCTGAGAATTAATTACAAAATGTCTTCGAGTTAATGCATATTGTCTTCCACTTTAACCTAACAATCACTATGTCACATGAAGAGAAAAGGTATAGGGGGTGAGAGAAGGAGATAAGTAAAAGGGCAGAAATACAAAGAAAATGAGGTGGGTAAAAATAGGGAAGGAAAATAAAAAGTATCAGAATGGTAAACATAAGGGAAAAGATACAGATTTTGACTTCCAGTTTTCTATACCAGTTTTCTTCCTTATCTTTCAAGCCTCATTCCCCATTCTACTTCTTCCTTTTCCAAAATCTGTACGGAATTTATTGTACAGAAACTTTCACCCTTCCATCTATAAATTTGTATAACTTCCAACCTGATTTCAAATAAAGGATTTGAGGAATTACTTCAATGTTTTATTTTTAAAAGAAATGCTGTCATATAAATACTTTAAGACTGTGTTGTACTTAGACACAAATCTTTATTTGTATTACTATAAAGTCATTAAAGTTTTTAAACTTAAATTATTTTTAATAAAATATCTATCCTAATATGAAACATACTCAAGTGGCTTTTAAAGCAAGCTATTGAACAACAGTACAGGCCCACTTATACAGATTTTTCAATAAAAAATTGAAAAATTTTTGGAGCTTTCTTACCTACTGTGAAACAATAAATTCCATTCAACTACCATAAAGCAATCACATTGCTGTTTCTTTATCAGCAGTGCATACATTGTTATACCTATTATAAATACAAATTTATTTTCACATTATCTTCTAATTTTTTATGTCTAGTATTAGTAATGCATATAACATCTGCAGTATTTTCTATAAGACAAGATTGATATAGGTATTGACATATGATTCATTTTATAAGCAAATGATGTAAACTTACAAAATCAATAAATACAGTATAGTACTGTAAATGTATTTTTTCTTTCTTATGGTGTTCTTAATAACATTTTCTATTCTCTAGCATACTTTATTATAAGAATACATTATGTAATACATATAACATACAAAATATCTGTTAATCGACTGTTTATGTTAAAGGTAAAGTTTCCAGTCAACAGTAGTTAAGTTTTGGCTGAGTCAAAAGTTATGCACAAAATGTAGTCTGTGTGGGGTCAGTGCCCCTAAACCCTGTGTTGTTTGGGGTCATCCATAATTACTGGATGTAGGTACAAATGCAGGCTGGCTAAGTCACACTATAACACTTAAGAGAGAGGATAACCGTGACATAGTATCATTTATAAGCCACTCTTCCCTAAAATACTGAAAAAGCCAGCATCAACAAGAAAAACTGACTTAAAGATTTCTCATTGTATGTAATATCTATTAATATAAGTACATGTTAATAACTATCAGAAAACTATTTTTCTCAGTGTGTGTTGATGATCTTCATAAAATGTGATTGGTATTCTAACGTTTGAAAGTATTTTATTTCCTAGAATCCAGTAATTGTCTCCTTCAGAAACAAACACCATAATGACAAATAACTTTCTCTCTCTAATAAGTTTTCATACTCAAAATATTTGTAGTTTTCTTGGAGCTTATTTGCTAAGGGTTAATATTTTATATTTACCTTGAAAACAATACTTCCTTATAATTAATTCTATTTATAATTTATCTATTTAACTTTCTGATACATGATACAATGACATATATTGAATTGCTATTTATATCTTATAATAATTAAAAGCCATTGTACCTAATTGAAACTTCTCACTTTGCTAGTTTTTAAAGTCTAAACAAGACAGAAAATATACTTATGGGGTAATATTGTATATAGTAATATATTTCTTTAGGCAGCTTAAAATATATTTTATCTCTGTAAACACAGTGAGATGATATTTAGTTTCTAAAAATTAAAGAACCAGCTAAATTTCACTAGTATGGAAGCACTTCAAAAGCAGGGACATTATTTTAGTCATTTTGTTAAGCGTCTATGTTGCGCCTAATACAAAACCTTGGCCATATTTATTGAGCTGGTACAGAACAATGAAAAGCACTTGTCCTCCAAGGTCAGAAAAACAGAATTTGAATTCCGACTGCCACCGCAGTATTGGAACAGGCTGAAGAGTCAACCTCAAAATAGATTTCCGAGCGGTAACTCCCAGTTCATTAAGTGACCTTACTTGGAAATAGGGTCTTTACAGATGTAATTAAGTTAATGATCTTGAAATGAGATAACATCATCTTGGATTTAAAGTGGGTTCTAAATCCAATGTCCTGATAAGAAACAGAAAAGAAAATGACAGAGGGGCAAAGGGAAGACAATGTGAAAATGAAGGCAGAGATTGGCATGGAGTCCACAAAGCCGAGAATTGCTAACAGCCATGTGATTGATAGGGATGGAGCAGATTCTTCTTTGAGCTTCCAGAAGGCGCCAGACGCTACTGACATCTTCTTTTCTGGATTCTGACCTCCAGAACAATGAGAAAATAAATTTCTGTTGTTTTAAGCACATTTTTGATCATTTGTTATGGCAGTCCTAGGAAACTAACACAGCCATTCATTCACTAAGAAATGTAGATTTTTTTTTTCATTTAAAAATTAGGCTAATGACCATTTTTCAGATGTGTTAAGGAAATGAAATGAGGCAACTTGAACCACTTAACCTGACAACGGATGCCCAGCAGCACTCACACACCGGCTCCCCTCCTGACAACCACTCAGGACCAGCCTCTGCCAGGACTTTCCAAAGGAACATACCTAAAATATGCTCATCTTACCAAGAAGTATAAATGTAATTTGTATAAGTTTACATAAGCTACAATGTATATTTCCTACATTCCTGATGATTTACAAACCAACATGATGAGAACATTTTATTAAAAGGCCATGAATATTAGTTATTAAGGAATAACACAGCACTTTTGTATCTCTTGTAGTATCGCTAAGGCAGATAAACATGTTTTATCTTTTTCCCTGAGCATTTGCCATCTTGACCCCCACAGGGCTACCCACAGTGACCCCTCAACACTTCAGTGCAGAGGAAGAATGAAAAGACAAGGGAAAGGACTCTGTCTAAACTTTTAACTCCTAGAGGACCAGAGAAAACCTTCTATAGCTCATAATTTGAAGAATAATCAATCATATTGTTATTTTTTAGAAATTAAAAATAATATAATTTTTAAAAGCTTATAATCTCGAAACCCCCACATTATTTTTTGTAAACTTTTAATGTTTTGCTTACTTTGGCCATTCCTTTACGTAACAGCAGATACACACACTCTCATTAATAATAATAGTAAATAAAAGCTTGCCCAGAAAAGGTGATTGTATATCATACTTTCTAACATGTAATATATTGCACAAAACAGCATTTTAAAGAGACAAGGCTGCAAAAGTCAGAACTACCTCTAAACATGTAAAATAAATTCTGATCAGCAAGTTTCTATAAAACAATCTCAATGTCTAAAGCATATTTATTTATGAGAAATGACTTTTTCTTTCTCATGTACATTGAAACAAAAGCAGTTGTTAACAATTTAATTAAAATAATATTAATTTAAGATACTGACATTGATATTTCATAGATGAAAATGATACCTTACACAAATATTATTTTTAACATATTTATTAGAACACAATCATATATTGGTTATATTAGTTTCAGGTGTACAATACAGCAATTTGCCATTTTTACACCTTGCAATGCGATCGTGCCACCAATTCTAGTATTGGTCTGTCACCATGTAATCTTAACTAAATAAAAAACATGGAATGCTTCATGAATTTGCATGTCATCCTTGCACAGGGGCCGTGCTAACCTTCTCTGTGTCATCCCAGATTTCATAGTGTGTGTTGCTGAAGTGAGCTCAGGCAGAGATTCTTAATATAAGGATTTACTCAATCTGTTGACTAGAGATGAAGAATGTTTCTCAATCAAGTAGGTTCTGTAAATTTCTTACACCTACCAATTTTTCTAATGCTGTAAAGCCCACAAAACCAGACATTAAGAAAATAAAAGTTCCATTTACAGATGTTTACAACATCTTCTAAATAAGACTTAGCAAAGGTTACAAGAAGTGGAGAGGTAAAAAGAAAGATCACTAAGCAATGTCCCTGTGGGGTCTCCCAGGAAACTTGCTCAGTGCATTTTTAGTCTCTCAGAATAGCACCTTTCGTCTCTCAGGTTTGAAAACAGACCAAAACTGAATTGATTACTTATGGAAGATTCATCTAAACAAGGTTCATATGGAAGTTGTGTAAAAATCAATTTCACTTTATTGATTTCCAGTTTCAATCATTACTGCTAAGGAAACCAGGTGCTAAGGCCACCACACCTGGGCTTTAGGTATGTTATCTCTGTAGCTGTCCTGTGAAAAAGCAGCTCACAGATCCCAAAAAGAAGGGTACATGAGGAGCATGGAATAATACAGGCAAAAAAGTGCTCAAGCATTGAATTAACTAATGTGTCCATTCCACAATAAATTATACCTACCACAAGGATCAATAATTCAAGTATTTCCTGCATTGTGCATAAAGGGATACTTGAATGTTTGATCTCTTCACTTTTTAAAAAATTTGGTAGTCATTAAGTTTAATGACTACCAAACCTTTCACTTAGGATTGATGATATCTGCTTTTCTTAGAGTTCATACATTGAGGCCTAATATAGCTGCATTTTAAGAGTCTTGTCTGATTTTTCCAATTTAAAGGAATTGGCTCATATACACCCATATCTGTTTCATATAAATTTTAATTTTTAGAAGCCAATCATGATCTCAAATGTTTATTTCTCTTGGAGGAGCTTTCATTATGTATCTTTATAGGGTATATATTTTCATTTTTAAGGGTTTGGCAATGCACCAAATCAATGTCCTGTGAACAAAAGGAGTCACATGTCTCCAGCTGAACAGGTTAAGGGGTATATTTTAGATATTCAGTGTTTTAGGCCAACCTGGAGTCATTTGAGTACAAATGTAGGGTTTTTACAGTAGGATTCTTAATGGACTGAAGAATATCAAACACATACCAAAGATTATATGTGTGACAAGAAATAAATCCATTTTATTTAACTGGTATTTTAAATTATGAAAATTGTAATATTTACCAATATTTATATGTAGCATTGCAATTAAAATTTTTGCCCTGAGGATCCAAGTAATATATTTAGTACTCTAAGGAAGATTCCAAGTAATATATTTAATACTCAAAAGCAAAGCTAAAATAGAATTTCCTGACTTGTGGTAAAGAAGTTGTATCTGATATATTTGCTCTTTAAGAAACAAAAACAAAAATGATTTGATCCATATTCAGATCTAACCATTCTAATTCTTTGATATAAAGATTAGCTCATAAGTAAGACCTATCCCATTTCAAAAATAAATTGAGAAATGAGCTTAAAGGGGAAAATGGGGGAGGGATTTTGAGGAACAAGTATGAAAGACACAGAGATGAGGACTGGGGGGGTGGGAATGGGAGGGAGGAGGGAGACCGGGCGGGGGGGGTGGGGTGGGATGGGAGAAATAGATTAAAAAAATGTACTTGAAAAGTAACTAAATAAAATTTAATATTAAAAAAAAGAGAAATGAGCTTAAAAGAGTTTACAGGACATCTGAGAATCTAAAACTGCTTATTTGAACAGAATCTTGTATAAATAAATAAACTTTAAATTTTAATAAAAACTAGTGCCTTTTAAAAAAATACTAAACATTAAAAATAGCAATGCTTGTGAATTTAACTTGACCTCTAATAGAAAAACTGGCCCTTTTCAACACTGCAAGGAAATACCTTAGCTGCATGAGCTCCCAGCCCTTGAGCCCTGTGAGCCATGCACAGCACCCAAAGAAGCTCTGCTGCGGCCCCTGCAATGCCTCTCCCCATGCTGCTTCCGCCTCCTGGGCTTGTTCTGTTCATATTCTTCAACTGACTCACTTGTATTGAACCTTCAAGGATTACTTGGGCATCAACTCCTAGTTTGAAAGAAAAAATTTCCCATGGCATTTAGGGTGGGCAGGGAAAATGGGTTACTAAGCTTTGAACTTTGGATAAATCACTTAATCTCTCAAGGCTTTATTTATAATATGTATGGATTAAAATAGATAATCTCTAGGACCATTTATAATTTCATATGGCAACTTTTTATATTTTCCCTCTACTTAGAAACTTTTAAGCTATTTTCACCTTCAAGTAAAGTCATAACAGATTAAATTCTATTCACCCTCCAAATCCACAATGATCAATGGGACCCAACTAGAGAAGCTACATTATAATTAATAATATATATTTAGTATATTAGTATTAATATACTAAATCACTATTTGTAATACTCTAGACTTTAATTTAGATAGCATTAGTGATTTTATCATCTATCGATAAACTTTAAAAAGGCAGAATATAGCACCTCCTGAGTGCCAATAGATACTAATTAATATGTAAAAATAAAATATAAAATAATATATATGAGCAAGTACAGAAAAAATTTAAGTACTTTGATGATGAAATGTTTTTTTAATGATCAAAAATTTCAAAGATCTAAGAGAATATTATTATTCTTAATTCTTAAAGACAGTACGTTAGTTCATTTACTTAGCTCACTAATTATTTAAAAGGAAAATATGGAACCAAGATCACATTCCTTTAATCCTATACTATAATAGTAGCACACAATATTTCTTGTCTATTAAGTTCAGGACTTCCATTTTCAAACTTCAAATGTCATCATGTTTTAGAATAATTTTAGGATAGGCAAAAGTTTCTTAATGGAAAATTTTAGTTGTTGCAGATCACAATATAAAATTAGTATTTAAGTTAAAATATTTTAAATATTTTAATAGTTTTAAATCACACTAATAATATGGTACTTTTGGTTAAGAAGGGGCTATAACCAATAACAATACACATTATAGTTATTGAGGTACAGAAATATTGAGCAACAAATGAATTACTGGATCATTCAGAATGTAACAGAATTCATTCCTGCCTCTCCTCTGTACTATATTAAGTGCATAGTTTTTGATATATCATTAAGTTTTAAATATATATTTTATTGATTATGCTATTGGAGTTGTCCCATTTTCCCCTTCACTCCCCTCCACACTGCACACCCTCTCCCACCCACATCCTCCCCATTAGTTCATGTCCATGTGTCAGACTTCTAAGTTCTTTGACTTCTACATTTTCCATACTATTCTTACCCTCCCTCCCTCTGTGTATTTCCTACCTACCATCTATGCTACTTATTCTCTGTATTTTTCCCCCTCTCTCCCCATCCCACTCCCCTGTTGATAACCCTCCATGTGATCTCCATTTCTGTGGCTCTGTTCCTGTTCTAATTGTTTGCTTAGTTTGTTTTTGTTTTAGGTGTGGTTGTTAATAATTGTGAGTTTGCTGTCATTTTACTGTACATGTTTTTTATCTTCTTTATTTTAGCTAAATCTCTTTAACATTTCATATAATAAGGGTTTGGTGATGATGATCTTCTTTAACTTGACCTTATCTGAGAAGCACTTTATCTGCCCTTTCATTCTAAATGAAAGCTTTGCTAGATAGAGCAATATTGAAGGTAGGTCCTTGCCTTTCATGACTTTGAATACTTTTCTCCAGACTCTTCTTGCCTATAAGGTCGCCTTTGAGAAATCAGCTGACAATCTTATGGAAACTCCTTTGTAGGTAACTCCTTTTGACTTGCTGCTTTTAAGATTCTCTCCTTCATTTTAATCTTGGGTAATGTAATTATGATGTGCCTTGGTGTGTGCTTCATTGGATCCAACTTCTTTGGGACTCTCTGAGCTTCCTGGACTTCCTGGAAGTCTATTTCCTTTGCCAGATTGGGGAAGTTCTCCTTTATTATTTGTTCAAATAACTTTTTCACTTGTTGCTCTTCCTCTTCTTCTTCTGGTACCCTATAATTTGAATGTTAGAATGTTTAAGCTGTCCTGGAGGTTCCAAAAACTTCTCCTCATTTTTTAAAATTCTTGTTTCTTCATTCTTTTCTGATTGGATATTTCTTTCTTCCTTCTGATCTGCACCATTGATTTGATTCCCAGTTTCCTTTCCATCACTATTGGTTCCCTGTGCATTTCCCTTCATTTCACTTAGTGTAGCCTTCATTTTTTCATATAATTTGCAAAAAAAAAATCAACCAATTCTGTGAGCATCCTGATTACCAGTGTTTTGAACTGTGCATCTACTAGGTTGGCTACCTCTTCACTGCTTAGTTGTATTTTTTCTGGAGCTTTGATCTGCTCTTTCATTTGGGCCATTTTTTTTCTTTTGAGGTGTTGGTTATATAGTGAGGAGTGGAGCATTAGGTGTTCATCAGGGCGGGGCAACCCAGTCTCTGGGTTGTGGCCCTGTATGTGGGGCAGTGGTCTGAGAGGGAACAATGGCACTTGTTTTGCTCTCTGCTCGATTTCAATCATTTTCCCCACTTCCCATAGAAAACTGGGCCTTTTTGGTGGTGATTCCCCTGTGTGTGGGTTTGTGTATGTTCTAGGACCCTGTGGGTCTCTCCAGGAACTCTCCTGTGAGACTGGGAGTCTCTCCCCACACCTCAACCCCCACAGGTATTTTCAATAAATGATTTGAGGCTATATTTCCTTGCACTGGGACCCTGGGTTGTGCGGTTTGTCCTTTTCCCAGTTTCGTCTGGTTTATCTGCATGCGAATGTGAAACTGCCCAGTCCACCAACTGCCTTGCACACTGTGCCCTGCTCCACAATCTGCAGCCTTGCTGTATATGCCGGCCACCACCTTGTGCACCTGGGGTCGGCCAGCCACCGCTTTGTCTCCACTCTGTCCCTCCTACAAATCTGGATGAATGTGTCTTCTTTAACTCCTTGGTTGTCGGACTTCCATACAGTTCAGTTTTCT